TCCTCTCTCGTGGGCATTGGCGGCGCGTTCCTATTTTTATGTATTGTCCTTGGAGGCTGCAAGGGACGGCCCTCTCATTCTGATTCAGCCGAGCCGGGGAAAGAAGGGGAGGCCCCTGTCTTGCTCTTAGGAATAAGGAAGTCTGTTTCTCGTGTACCCTGCGAAACGTTCACACATCCCACTGTTGGTCTGACGTAACACTAATGTTGTTCAGGTTTGGAAAAGATCCGATTTGTACAGAAGCTGTCCTTGTCTGCTGCCTGGCTTGGTGTGTGCTTTTTGGAACAAAAGACGGGACTGCACGGCTCTGAGAGTGTGTGCGCACGCACACATGCAAAAAACAGAGAAGGCAAGAGAGCAGCATTACAAACACAAGAAAGAAAAGCAACTGCGTTGGCCGGGAATCGAACCCGGGTCAACTGCTTGGAAGGCAGCTATGCTCACCACTATACCACCAACGCCCGCTGGAAAAAAGCTGGCTGCTGGGAGCTGAACATGGAAACGAGCCTGTGCGCTCGGCTGCAGAAAAGACTGGGAGCCGCGGCACGCAGGGAAGCGCCCTCCCCCTGGGAAGCGCGGCCAAGTCAGCAACTCGGCAACGCGCTCCTCCTCGCAGGCGAGGAGAAAAGCATCTGGCAGCGGTGGGATTCGAACCCACGTCCCCGGAGAGACTGGAGCCTAAATCCAGCGCCTTAGACCGCTCGGCCACGCTACCTTAGATGGGGCTATGAGAAACAACTATAGAAATTTAAAAAACAACAACGAGTATTTATTTATATACACACACGGAGAAAACTATGCTGACCTCAGATGCCCCTCTGGGCCGCTTTCTAGCCACTGATAGGATTTTGGGCTGCGAAGGCTGCCCAGGGCTGGCTCCTTGTGGTTTTGCCCTGGGCAGAGCCGAGCCGAGAAGTTTTTGTGTTTACAACATCTGGATTAAAATAGTTCCAAACTCTCTTGCAGGCACGGGGGGTCAGATTTCACGGAGGGGGGTGTTAAAACGGCAAAACCTGGAGTGGGCTGGAGAGATCCAATTCTGCCGTAGTCCAACAGGTGCAGTTATGCTCAGCATCCTTGAACTCCCACCCCTGGGGCGACCTGGCACCTGGGTGTTGTGGTCCAGAAGTGACGATCATCTCAGCAGCCCCAGATTCGATTCCAGGCCAGCGCAGGAAGGGATGCTATTTTAAAAGCTTTTTAATTGCTCTGCGGATGTTTACGCAGCTTTCCCCTTGGGAATGAATAGATTGAGAAACAGAATGATTTGTTCCCAGGTCTTGAAACTGAAAGCTAAGGGAGAGTTGACGATCAGCTGCTGGTGGGAGAGCAAAATAATACTTTCCACATGTCACGTATACACAAGACAGAAGTAAATGATTTATACAACCAGTCAGATGCAGATGCCAAAACCAAGTTTCTCACCACTCCACGGATGTGCGTCCAGCATTTAGTCCCCAAGAGCTTCTGCACTAATAAATGCATTTGTCCTCGGAGGGAGAACATGTGTCCTTCCAGATGTCGTCGGACTGCAGCTCCCATCGTCCCTCACAACGGCCCAGGGGTGATGGGAATTGCTGTTCGGCATCTGGGTTGTGCAAGCATAGCAGTTTCTAAGAATGCAATGCTAGGCATGTTTAGACAGAAAGGCATACAATTCCCAGTATTTCGCAGCCAGTCATGCTGGCTGAGGCGTATGGGAATTGTAGCACCCCAATTTCACGAGAGTTTTATCCCCCCCCCTTTGTTGAAACCTGCCGAAGAAGAGTAATGTGTGGACCAGCAGCGTGCCAGAGCACCTTCCCAAACACGCTTTCTAAGCCTTTCCTTCCCGAACCTGCCACCGTCCAGACTGCTCAGACTACAAC